TGCTAGCACAGGCCCACTATCCGCTGCGAGAAAATCAAGAACCTCGGGTCACGTCTTCGAATGAATCGCGAATGCAGGTAGCGTATTGCGTGCCGACTGTTCGTAGGATATCTTATTGCAAACAAGAAAAAAAGACAACGATCAATTCATAAAAGCATGGCACACATCTATATCCAAGTTCTTTCCCGAAGAGCCGATTAGGCAGCACTTAGACGAGGAAGCCAGAGCCAAACAGGACCTATACCGGGCCTACGTTTCACGGACGCCCTGTTAGGCGATGCCCGGAACAATAAAGCACCGGAAGGAAATCGGCAAGTAGTGTACTTAGTGGGAGCACCGCATGCATAAAAAGGCACTTTCGGATAGCGATCTGTTTATTTATGTAAGGACAAACTCCCGGGCGCACCATAAGGAGTAGGGAGGAGGGCCGCGCCAGAGAGCTTCCGTGCGATGGCCAACGTTTCGGTCGCTTCAGGCACAGTAAGGTATTTGTTTTACGAAGCACTGGCAGGCCTATATCGTGTTCAGCAGCTAGAAACGTCCTACCGGGAAACCGGTAACTGCACTGTTAAGGGCGGACAGCTAAATTATTCCTCTCGGAAAGACGGGCCATCAACGCTCGGTGTTCCTAAATGGACAATCAGCCCCAGGCGCGGATCGAACCTATACCACTGGTTGCCGTCGATAGAGGTATACTTAACTGTGGATCGAGAATAACTTGATCGACGACCAGCGGTACTATATGGAATAATATTAGTTAGGCTTTATTCCAAATTTTCTTCCTCATTTGCGTTATTAAACAAAAATTGTTTTCACAAAAATGTGGTTCTTCTATTCTTAAAGAAAACAGTGGAAATATTTCCCGCCGTAGAACAGACCAGATATCGACAACAAAAAGAAGCCGTTATTTATAACTCGTGTTTTTTTTTAGATTGCTTCGTAAACTCTACTTGTGGTGAAGCCACCTTAATAAAATATGGCCAATGTACCCGAAAGCTGCGGCTGATTTTATCAAAACTGGCTGACCTTCCTCATGACTAGCTATCAATTGTACATACTAGAAGACATTAGGCATCATTCATAAAACACTAGCAGGAATTAACAAAAGCTAACACTTGGCAGCAGTACCATGCAGGCAAACAGTACGAAGGGTGTACCTCTAGGATACGCCCCGTATATACATTGAATCGTTGTTTTTCACACACTCGTTGTGAAAACTCAACGGCCCCATTTTTTTGTGGCCCCAACTGCGTGACATTGTTACTTGTTGCGGCCACTGCACTGTTCATAAATGAACTTTTTATGATGTTGTTGTTGTTGCCCCTTTAGCAATTTATTTAACAGTTCCAAGCAAGCGAATGTCCTTGGTTTCTGTTGCAGTTCATCACGGGTCATCGAATTCCCCGCATTGATCCCCTCCCTTCTCTCTCGCTCTCCCTGTCTCTTAACTTTCAATTCCTTCCTCGATTCCTCATCGTAAGTTGTCAACCATACGTAACCGAAACTTTGTCACCATGCGTATGGCAGTGTCACACTGCAGTTCCTACAGGAAGCAAGAACGGTGATGCGTTCATATAGATGCAACAATAAAATGTGGCATCGTAAAATGACAAGACCGTTCGGCAAAAGATCAGAGTGTCATATGAATAGTGGCTTATCGCCGAGAAGCCCGTGATCGACAGAGCTTCAGTTATCGGAAAACGTTGCATACAAGATCTCCCAGGTGGAATGCGTGATTACGACGGTCAAGGAAAGAGAGAATCATGCTCTCTTTGTATCTCGTCGTCTTCGTGCATTTTACCTAGGATCATGCAAAACCAACACGCCCGGTAGTCTACCCTAAAGTCACATACAAGAACGCATGGGACCTTGGAAGGTCGAAAACTTTCTATGGCAGCACAGCGGTGGCTACGCAACGGAAGTACGTACTATTTAGGAGCGTAGCTCCTCCTAATGTAACCTTGTTCCCCGTCAGGCGCAACCGGCCATATCTCCCGAACAGTACAGTTGATGGGGCTGTCTTGTAGAACTACAGAAAAGCTGCAGTGGAATGGGGATATTCTAGATGGTGCTGTACCCCTACTCTCCGAATGGCTGCTGCGCAGCTGTGGCCGGGTGTGCGGGAAACGAGTGCCTCTCTCAGCCTTCTGGATCGTCGTCGTACGTGTAAGGTTGTTGGTGGGGCATGGACGAAGCGCAGTGGTGGGTGTCGAGAGCCGCGGCGGCTCGTGCTTGTCGCCAACAGACAGACGGATGGACGGACGGACGGACGGACGGACCGACCGACCTACCGACCAACCGACCTACCGACCTACCGACCTACCGACCTACCTACCGACCGACCTACCGACCGACCTACCGACCGACCGACCTACCGACCTACCGACCGACCGACCGACCGACCGACGCATGGACGCATGGACGGACGAATGGATGCACGGTTGGACGCATGGACGGACGGACGGATGCACGGTTGGACGCATGGACAGACGAATAGACGGATGGATGCTTCGCTCCTCTCATCACCATTCACACTCTAAAAAAAGAGCAACTAAAAAGGGCGTCTTTTCGTCCCACAACAATAATCGTCATCTATATTGCGTTCCATCCTTGCGCTATCACCCCGCGCCCGGTACATTCCGGTCACGATCGACATGCCCATTATAAGGGTTACATTGCATTTTCGATAGGAAAGTGGCCAGCGCCGAGTTTTCAAGAAAGGAAGGTCACCCAAGCCTGATGATGATTATTGTTGTGGGACAAAAAGGCACCCTTTTTACTTGATATTTTTTAGAGTGCCTTCCGTGAATATTCTGCAATTTTTTTTTCAACTGAAGCGCATTTTAGGGGTCGAGCTTATCGTGCGTCTTTTGATTTCATGTGTTGTGACAAAGCCCTCAGTAGCCCCGCCACGATGGTTTAGTGGCTAAGGCACTCGGCTGCTGAACCGCAGGTCGCGGGATCTAATCCTGGCTGTGGCGGCTGCATTGTCGATGGAAGCGAAAATGCTGCAGGCCCGTGCACTCAGATTTGGGTGCACAATAAAGGAACCAAGGTGGTCGAATATTTTCGGTGCCCACGACTACGGCGTCTCTCATAATCGTATGGTGGTTTTGAAACATTAAACCACACACATCAATCATCAATCAAGCTCTCAGTAAACGTCTCATTACATGCCATAACAATGCTAGCAATACTCAAAACCTGGTTAAAGTGAACGAACGCGGTCTAAAATATAATACTTAACAGAAATAACTAAGACGTAATTGCAATAGTCTACTAAACATCACTACAAACATTTCGGAAACCAGCAGCTGACCCCGGCGCCATGCAAGAGAGGGCGCTGCCATCTCGCAGAGTGAGCGGTTTGCTATTCTACCTACGCTTCACCTGCACTGCATTGTTACGTTTGATGGGGGAACAACCTGACGTAACTCGCTACAGACGATGCGTATGAAAACTGCGGTAAGAAATGGGAAGTCAATGAAAACAAATCAAGAAGTTGCGCACGTGTCGCACATCAAGTTTTCGAATCTCCCTTACAAGGTTCTACTTGTGGAAGGTAAACCTTACATGCTTACAATGACGTCATTGGTGGCTTTGTAAACTAAGCAGCGGGTATCCTACGAATGGGAATCGCTGGGTGCCCTTTCTACGCACATCCACGGGTTTCCTAAAGATTTATCTGCGTTTTTCTTTACTACGCTTCTACATGCACTCGCGAGTGCTAACTTCTGTAGACTATGTATCTTAAAGAAACGCAAAGAACAAAACAATCAGACATTATGTTCAAGATTGTTTGTATTGTAAGAAAGAAAGCTTACCCCGTAAAATATTGGCAATTTCTGCACTTTTCATTGTTTTCTGGTGCGTATTTCACGTTTTCCTGCCCCAGTAAATGATGGCGTCTCTCTGTTGCAACCAATGTAGTCTCCACAGGTGCACATCGAAGCTTGTAAGCAAGCACAAACGTGTGTTCTTTAAGTGATCTGTAGGCATCAACAAGGAACAAGTACCTCGACTCTGTTTTCGGGTTGGAAGCTTCCGCCCTACACCAATAGTAGAAAGGTAATCGTTGACGTACGCGATCGTCGTTGATGCGACGGCCTTAATTGTAGAGTATCGAGTGCTCTAAATCGTTAACCACTTTTTCTAAACACACAAGAAACTGCCCTGCCGTGGTGGTCTAGTGGTTAAGGCACTCGGTTGCTCACCCGCAGGTCGCGGGATCAAAACCTTGCTGTGGCGGCTGCATTTTTGATGAAGGGGAAGATGTTGTAGGCCCGTGCGCTCAGATTTGGGTGCACGTCAAAAAACCCTAGGTTGCCAGAACTTCCGGAGCCCTCCGCTACCACGTCTCTAATAATCATCTGGTAGCTTTGGGACGGTAAACCACACATATCAATAAATCAATCAAGAAACTGACACAGCGGTGTGTTGTGAATTATTTTGTTACTTTCTCCTCATGTAACTGCGGAGAAGGAATCTGTGGGCAAGTGGGTCTCTTCATTGCCACCTTGACCGTGACGCTGATGATCTGTCAGTCTTCAGTAAGAACAGCCGCCTAAAATTGAGCTAAACTGCAATTAAAAAGAGAACCTAAAATTAGTGACGCATTTCATAAGGTGTGTTGCACAGATGGTATTTCGGCTGCCTACTATTGGTGATACATTAACACTGAAGGTTGCATGCTGTAGCATCATACTAGTCGACGATTATGGCGGAATGTGTTTTTGTCTCTTTGCGATAGGGGCGCGTTACGGTGACTGTCGTGTTTCGTCGGGGTTGGAAACCACCGCTGAAAGAAGACTACGGTAGCGGTACTGAACGCGGTTTACTCCATGCCAGTGCGCAGTGGACGACGGCTGCGTGGCCACATGTCTGGGTTGATATAGTCAACGGCTGCGATAGTCGAGCCGCTGCTATCGCTCTATGGACGATGATAACATAATACTCCTCCTCTTTTATTGAGAGGGTGAATCTGTAACCCTATATCATATTTAAAAGCGGACTTCGTATCGATGAGGTGGACGGCGTTGTCTTGACGGGTAGCGCCGTTCCGGTGCGGGTGTCTCCGATGGAGGAGTGGGCACTGGAGAGGCAGCCTCCATGGGCACGGGCTCCTCCGACGTTGACTGGTCACCAGCCTGGCTTTGAGGGAGAGCCAGGAACCCCTCCGTGAAGTCTGACTCCGATGCCCTCGGTGTCGTCACAGTGCCCGTGCCTCCCAACAGCTGGTCGAGATGTCGGCGCCAGATGAACTTTCCTCTGGGGGTAGTGACTATAACTTCATAAGAGACTGGGCCAGTCTTCTTTAGCACGGTTCCACGGACCCACTTGGGGGAGCCTCTGTAATTTCGAACTAGAACACTGTCATTAATACAAAAACAGTTTCTGTTGCTCTTCCGCTGCTGCATTTGGGTGAATTGACTGTGCATCACCCTCCCCTCCACTGTAGGCTTCATGGCATCCAGTCTGGTGCGCAATCTTCTACCCGTCAACAAGTTAGCTGTAGCTTCTCCAGTCGTAGGATGAGGCGTGTTTTGGTATGCCAATAAAAACTTGTGAAGTGTTTCTTCGACAGACTCACAGGTTGGCGACTTGCGCAGAGCAGACTTCAACGTTTGCACGAACCACTCCGTCAGGCCATTTGTACTTGGATAATCAAGGGCGCTCACGACATGTCTGGCCCCGACATCACTCATACACGCCTTGAACTTTTCGGACACCAGTTGTGGTTCATTGTCGGACACCCCGTCTCCAGCATTCCGAATGTGCAGAAAAGTACGCACAAGCAGGCCACAGTACGCTCGGACGTTGGGCTTCGCATAACGAACACTTCCGGCCACTTTGAGTGGGCATCTACTACCACCAAAAACATAGTTCCACGGAAAGGCCCCGCAAAATCCAAGTGAATTCACCTACATGGTGCAGTCGGCCATGCCCAGGGATGCAGAGGTGCCTTACATGGATCAGTCCGTTGTTTCGGGCAGGCTTGGCAACTTCGTACCTTTGTCTTTAAATCTACATCCATTGACGGCTACCACACATAGCTGCGAGCAAACTCCTTGCTCCGCACAATGCCGGGATGGCCTAGGTGCAGTTCTTCGAGCACTGATTACCGAAAGGGGGACGGGATAACAACACTGAAACCATACATGAGGCACCCTTGATGCATGCTGATCTGCAAACGTCGGTCAAAAATGGTTTTAAGCTCGCATCGCGCAAGTGCAATGGCCAGCCTACGCTTGTAAGCTGGAGCACTTTACTGAGCACCAGATCACGTGCTGTAGCGCGTGCAATCTTTTTGGCGGACACTGGCATAGAGTCAAGGCGCAAGACATAAAACGATTCTTCGCCTTTGAATGTGCTGTCTTCAGGTCCCTGGAGCGGGAACCTTGAAAAAAAGTCTGCTTCTGCGTTGTCACTGGATTGTTTGTACACGAGCGAGTACTAGTAAGCTAACAACGTGACGGCCCATCGCTGCAAACGTGCTGCTGCAATGGGTGGAATGCCTGTTTTTTTTTGTCCCAAGATTGTTTGCAACGGCTTATGATCCGCAATCAACGTGAAACATCTTCCATAGATGTAGAAACGAAACTTTTTGATGGAAAAGATAATGACCCACGCTTCTTTTTCTAGCCGACTATACTATTTTTCGGCGTCAGTTAATGTGCGTGACGCATAAAACACAGGGCGAGAGCTTCCATCTTCAGTTACATGTAAAAGTACTGCGCCCACACCGTACTGGGAAGCGTCACATGCCACTTGCAAAGGTTTATCTGGGTCTTAATGCGCCAGGATCAAGGATAACGCCAACGCATTCTTGATTTCCTCGAACGCCACTTGACACGATTTGTCCCAAAGCCATGCATGACTGGTCGCGACGCAGCAGTTTGTAAAGTTAACTCGCCAGAGTAGACAAACGAGGCACAAACTTTCCATAGTAATTTACGATCCCCAGAAACGATTGCAGTTGCTGCTTGCTTGTAGGTGTGCAAGCTTTCTTGAGCTCTTCTATCTTGTCTGGCGTTGTATTGGCCCCTGCTGCACTGATAACATTACCTAGATACTATATAATTCTATTTAGAAAAATGAACATTTTTCTTTCTTTACTCGAACACCGCGGTCATTCAACCTCTTCAGAACCGCTTCGATGTTTGCGAAACGCTCGTCCGGTGTCTTCCCGGTAATGAGAACGTCATCTATATAGCATCTGACACCTTTGAGGACCTTGAACATTCTGTTCATAATTCTTTGGAAAATAAAAGGTGCCGAAGAAATCCCGAAAGGCACTCTGTTTACGGAAAAAAAGGCATTTATGGGTATTTAGTGTAAAGTAATTTCGCGACGACTCCGAGATTACGACCTGTTGATATGCTCGATTGAGGTCAATCTTCGAAAATTCTTGGCCCCCTGTGAGCGCCGCGAATAACTCGTCCACTCTTGCAAGCGTATATCGGTCAGTTTCAAGACAAGGATTTAGAATGGTCTTGTAATCGCCGCATACTCTTATGCCACCGTCCTTCTTTACCACTGGCACAACCGGCATGGCGTAGTCAGTTGTCACGACTGGTGAAATGACTCACATGTCTCCTAACTTCTTAAGCTCCGCCTCGACTGCCGGTTGAAGTGCAAAGTGCACACTTTTTGCCTTCAAAAATTTTGGCATGCTACCTTCTTTCAGCAACAACTCCGCTCTTTCGTCAGTAATTATTCCCAATTCGTCTTTAAACAAACTCTTGTATTTGTCTAGGAGAGCCCGTAGTCCGGTACATATAGAATTTTCCAACCTGGGAATAGCGTTGAGCTTGAAAATACGGCTCCAGTCGAGTTGGATGGCGTGCAACCATTGTCGACCTAGCAGAGGCGGTCCCTTTTCTCTCGTGATGAAAAGAGGCAGCCGGGCCTTCTGCCCTCCGTACTGCTCGGCCACGTGGGCAACTCTGACAGACTCTATGATGGCTCCCTCAAACGACCGCAGCTTCAGCGTCATAGGCATGACCTTGGTTTCGAGTGCGTTTTTGTCGGTTAATTTGTTCAAATTGTACCGTGGTTAGCCACAGTTTTTTTTTTCATCTATTAGCATTACGAAGCTTCGTTTTCAGTCAGCTTTGATATATCAATCCGAGCTTGTGTGTCAGACTTTACGTGCCGCTACGACGAAGCTAACGTGTCTAAAGCCTGTGAACACACCATATCAGCTGCTGTGCTTTACCGACGTCCAGCTGCGCAGCCTCCAACGTGAAAAGGCAACGTCGGCAAATCACTCAGAGACTGCCTAATAAAACAGAATGATCATTTACAACGTGCACATGCTCGTCGATGAGTGAAAATCCGCTGCTTTGCATCTAAACATCGCCTCTTTTTTTTTTTTTGCATGCGACACAGTTCTTGTCATTTCATAAAGCTTTTCGACTTGTACAGCTGATGAGATGCACACCTTGTGAATGTTTGAGATGTTTTTACTTCATTATCATATTCGCTGAAAATATCTTTACTGTTAAACTTTGTAGCACAAATCATCACATCATCGCTGCATAAGTTTTGCCTGTTTCTGCTCAAAGTGAATCTGCTGCGTTATATGCTCATACCTTTCACGCATGGTAGAGCCAAGCGAACTTTTAGTACATTTATTCGTTTGTAGACTTTTCGTAAGTTTACAATCAAGTATATTACATTTGCATGAACCATATACTACATCCAGTTGGACAATCACCTAGCTTTGTCCTCTCAAGAAAGTCGCTAAAACAAATTCATAAAATGCCATCTACAAGAAAATTCACAAAACTAGCAGTGTTATGTCCATGCTACCTTTCTTATATGCAGTGTTCCCATGTAAATTCTTCATAGTCATGCATCACAAGTCTGTTCATGCTTCTACCAGTGTAATCAGGACTGTTTTTTTCTTTCTTACAACCCAACCGCAGCCTCCAAGGAACTGCTGATATCTGTGTTTGTTTGGATGTTTTCATCGCTCTGAACCTACCCCAAGTCAGCGGAGACTGTGTCATCACTGAAAGCAAGCTCATGGGCCAAAATCCTCGCAAGGTATGGTTGAAGACACTTTATTTATTGAACCTATTTTCATTTAACCATTTTTGTCTTACCCTCCTCATGACTCTGTTTTTTTTCGTCTTCTCAGAAAACTGGACAAAGGAGAGACCATTGATTACACAGCTACCCGCATCAAGTCGTAAGAAGCTCAACAGTTGCCATAGTGACAACCCCATGTGCCACCAATATACCAGGCAGACAAATGGAAGCCTTATACTGAAATGCAGTGATAGTGTATATGGTATGTTCAAGCTGTACAAAATTGGGTGCACTGATTATTGTTTTTTGCTTTATGAATCGCTCAGTTTACAGGAAATGTGCAGGATTCAAATTTCTTGGATGGTGAATGTGATAGGGTGCACATACTGTACTTCACTCTATGTGTCAAACGTTGCATAGAGTACAACATATAACTAGGTAACAAATGGGTCTGGAGTACTGCATATTTTGCAGCACTTCTTTTCCACATTTAGTACAGGTTGCTGTGAATGTGAAGACTGTTGCAAGGCAGTGGTAGGTACAGCTACAGTAGTGCTGAAACAAAGTTACTGATACTGCGTGCATGTTGGGAGTGATACTGTCAAATTTCTAAAAGAAGAAACTGTGCAAGAACTGGAACTGGTTTCTTCATTAAGGGAGGCATGCATTGCAGAGGTAGCAACCACAAAGCCGAGCCATGAGAGTGAAATAACTAGAAGATAATTGAATGGGGTGGATCACATGCGGCAAGCATTCTCAAAGCTTGAATGATAATCTGCCACTAACCCTCAAGAGGAAAGTATCTAACAGCTGCATATTGCCAATACTTACCTACGGAGCAAAAACCTGGATACTTACAAACAGGGTTCAGCTTAAATTGAGGACAATACAGCAATAAATGGAAAACTAAATGATAGGTGTAACCTTAAGAGGCAACAAGAGAGCAGAGTGGGTCAGGGAACAAACCAGGGTTAAGGATATTATAGCTAAAATTAAAAAAAAAGAAATGGACATGGGCCGGGCAAGTAGCACGTAGGCAAAATAACCACTGGTCATTAAGTGTAACTGACTGGATTCTTAGAGAAGGCAAACGCATGAAGCGGAGGGAGAAAATTAGGTGAGCCGATAAGATTATAAAGTTCGCAGGCATAACGTGGCAGCAGAATGCACAACACCAAGTTGATTGGCGGATCATGAGAGAGGCATTTGCCCTGCAGTGGGTGTTATCAGGCTGATGATGATACGCCAAAAACAAGCACCGACATTCACGGTAGCAGTGAGCCTTAAATTTGAAGCATATGTCAATATTTATGCTTTAAAACATGTGTTTGTTTACATGACGGAGTTAAACCAATCAAAATGAAAAGTTATCAGTAATTTGCATTTGTTTGCATTTTTTCACTATGACTCCGTGAACATTATTCCTAGCTTGCCCAAGGGCTCCAGTTCAGCATCCTAAATTTCATCTGCTGAGAAATGCTGCTGTGCGGTTGTTTTCCACCTCTAGTCGATTCAGCTTGGTTTCGTTTCGCAAATTATTGCGATTACTCTCGGCAGACTTCTGCAAGCAGCAACGAAAACAAGGGGCCCCCAGTTTGAAATAAATATTGTGGATGCCATTGTGTTCAAATTATCGACAGATTTCGCCCGTAGAAACACACAGGGCTGT